CAGATATTTAAGAAACATGCTAAGTTAACATATTTGTTCATCTGAAAAACAATGCTACAGTCAGTTATTCTCCTTTGAAAATGTGCGTTCCGGACCGGAATGTCGGTCTCTGTTTTGGTTTGTGAAACCCGCCCACTGCCAGTTTACCCAATTGTATTTCGGCACCCGGGGTTGCCAGTTGGCGGTAAACACAGCATATTTCATTTCAGTCATGGAAGCTGGCAAACAAAAGTGTTGGTGTCGTCAATCTGGCAACCTGCGTGTGCGTCAAGTCTGAGGAGGAGGGACCGGGTGAAAAAAACCCTCTCCAATATTTTGAATCCAGAACACTTCAACCCAAATATTCAGATGTGTGCAGCACAGCACATTTTATGGAGGACCGTTTCCTGAGAGTAGACTACAATGCCGGCTGTTCTGACTCGCAGACTGTAAGTACGTTTTTTATATTTAAAGAGTTTTAATGTACATTATGTGGAAAATAATGTGTTTTTTTAACCTTAAACCGCATAAACACATTTCATTACACCAAATACACAAAATAATGTTCTTTTTAGCAACATCATATGACCCCTTTAAAGAGCTCAAGCATTTAAAGTGGCAGGCGATGTAACTGCAGTGCATGCTAATAATAAACAGAAGGTTATTGTGCGCTGGTGTGGACACTAATATAGTTATCAATTCTTGGTCTAAATGGGATTTTTAATCTGATTCCTCTTAACTATTCCCGTTCCTTAATGTTCAGTTACATTAATGATTCATCTGAATAAAGTGTAACTCTTAAAGTGTATCTTTAACTACACATCAAAATACACTGATTTAGGTCTCAAGCGCCTCAAAAACATAATAGCAACAATTCCTGGATCATGGAGTCAGACAAAAACTATGCAACTCAGATTGGTTGAGAAATTAACTGATTCATAAGTATTTGTGATTCACTACAAATAATCAATAATACACTTGACAATCGAACTTTACTGGTCAAGTTGTTTGTTTTTGATTAGGGATGTAATGGTATGAAAATTTCTTATCACGATTATAGTGACCAAAATTATTACGGTTATCAGTATTATCACGGTATTGCTTAAAATATGCTGGAGATGTTAAAAAAAGTACAGACACAAATCACTTCAAGTTTTATATTTAAAAATCAACAAACAACAAATAAAATGACTTTTTGTTTGCATAATCACTAAAACAGTAACATTACCAATGATGTTCGGATTTTAATACAGCAGGGCATGCTAATTCGGTCCGTTTTTGGCCAGACAGAAACTGCACACAGGCTGAATGTAAATATAAGTCTCTGTAAATCCACTCTCTGACAGCAGGTGAAAAACGCCTGCTTCTCTGAACGCTTCTGGAAAAGCTGTTTCCCGTAATCTCCGTAGACAAAGCAGTACTGCGATTAAGAACACTTCCTTTAGGTATTACATGGAGCAAAGATGAAAACAAAATGCCATCGAATCGTTTCTAAAGACAGTTTAGAACCTTCAGAGGTACATTCATATAATTAATTAATTAATATATTCATTTGTATAATTCCCTTAGCACTCTTTTAAAACCTCCCAGCTTTTCCGCCCTGTTTTCACTCAAAACGAAACTACTCTGAGTGCTGTGCGCATGTGAGACTGTTACTTAAAACTGTGCTTTATGCTTTATCGCGGTAATCTAATACTGTTTTAATGATAATTAAAATATGAAACGGTAATACTAACCGTGGGGAATTTTATCATGATTTATCGTCAAACCGGTAATCGTTACATCCCTATTTTTGATACACTAAAATAACTAAACTTCATTAGTCAAGCTGTTTGTTTTTGATTTACTAAAAGAATCAGCTCATGAGAGTCATTAGCTTGGTGATCGGATTTCACTGGTCATGCTGTCCAAGAGTCATTCAGTCAGGGAATTAAATGTAATTGGTCATGTATGTTCTTTGCGGAGTAGTAGCACAGTATTTTAATTGGGGATGCAACGATACCATTTTTTCAGAACCGATCCGATACCAAACATTTTGAGTATCGGCCAATTCCGATCCGATACCAGCGCAGTTTTTTTTTTTTAAATCAGTGTAGAATTTCTATACTTCTGTGTGTTGACCTGATCATCACTCTTGTGTGTGTCAAACACAATCTGCTAAATATAGACTTCATTTTTATGAAAAATAACAAATGAAAAAATATATAATCATAATCTATGAAAAAAATACTATTATAAACTAGGTTAGTGGATAATTCAGAAGCAAAAGTTATTCTAGAAAAATCATGGGTGCACAATCATTTTATAAAAACATTAAACTAAACTAAACATTTAGTGACACAACAATATTTAGTGGGGAACTAATAAAAGTTAATAAGTGTTGGACTAAATCTGGTAAAATGTTACACATTGCTCTTTGTATTGTTGTAAAATACATTCATGAAAAACAAGTAAATATACTGAGGCTAATTCATTTAACTTTTGGTGTGAAAATGCTTTTATATTTGCCAAAAATAGAACTTTTTTATTTTAAAAACAAACAAGCAAGCCCTGTCCAGATTTAAAAAGTAACGCAAAAGTAACGTAACGCATTACTTTCCATAAAAAGTAACTAAGTAACGTAATAAGTTACTTTTTTATGGAGTAACGCAATATTGTAATGCATTACTTTTAAAAGTGACTTTCCCCAACACTGATCATAACAATAGTCCATATGACTCATGTTTTGTACAAAGTTTTTTGAAACCATACAATAACTTTGTTTAAAAAAGACCGCTTAAGCAGAACAGTCCACTCTTACATATACAGATACACTTTTAACAAAGGTTTCAAAAGGGGTGTTTTGCGGCGATGCCATAAAATAACCATTGTGAGTTCCCCAAAGAACCTTTCAGTGAACAGTTGATAATCGGTCTGACAAATCTTTTAATAATCTGATTAACCTTTTACCACTATAAAGAACCTTCTTTACAATGAAAAGGGTCCATGATGTTAAAGGTTCTTCATGGAACCATAGATGAACCATAGATAAAGAGCCTTTATTTTTTAAAAGTGTATAAATGAGAAAATGTTCCATATGGTGAATGTAGTCCTGACTTTTAAAGTTAAAAGTTTCTGATACAGGCATTGCAGCATTCAATATGGTGGCTGTAAGAATGTACATCCATCTTGCAGCTATAAGAGGCAGAAAAATTTGTATCTGTCAAATTTTATTTCTGACTAGAAATAGAAGCCCTGAGGCATTATGAATATGACTTACCTTAAAGCGACAAAATCTAACTAAATTAAGCATCTCATTCGCTGATGTCACTGATGACAAACCTTGCAACATGCACTGATGTGCCAAGCTGGAATATGCATGTGCAAGAATGAAATTCGATAGCTGCAACTGCTTAATAAAATAAAAAGACATATAGTTTTGGGATGGTGTGGGTAAATGATGACAGAATTTTCGTTTTTGGGAGAACCGTCTCTTTAAAACAGAGAGACAGTTGTCTGAATTTTGTCTCTATTGTCTGAATTTTAATTGAATTGTTATTCAGTGAAGATTATCTGTCATGATCATCTCCACTAATGCATCCAGTCAGTTATAACCTGAGTGGGGAATTAAACAAAGCTATTTCTGAATCAAATTCCAGCATTGCTGCTTTGAGTCTGCATCATTAGTTTACCTCAACTGAAGACAGGTATCTCCCAGCACCAGCCTCAGGTCTGTGAGTGGGCTCTCAGACCCAGGAAAGAACAGCTTCAGCCCCCGCGCACAGAAGCGTTAAAGAGTGGGATTTCCCTAATGGACACTGCTGCTTTCCACACACACTTCCTCTCACTCACAAGTATCTTGGTGCAGGCCTTTCTAATGATACCACTAATGATGCATCACAAAACCAAGAGGATTTCATGAATCTATCAAACGCCCACCATCAGGACAGACAAACCAGTCCTCTGATCATTACTATTCAGTTGTCAGTGATTGCACAAAACCAGTGTTAAATTTTTATTTATTTATTTATTTTTGTTTTAGTGAGTTTTTCTAGTTATCATTTTTCAGAGATTTAGACCGATTAAAATGGCAAATGAAAAATAACATTTGGTTTAACATAAATAAAATGTTTGAATATTGGTTTACATAAACATGGACACCACCAACATTTGGAATCGGTGAGACGTTTTTGGTCAGACTTTATTTTAAGGTCCAATTCTCGTAATTAACAAACCATTAACTGTGACTTTTGCCTCAATAAACTCCTAATTTGCTACTTATTTATATATAGTAAGGTAGATCTTAAGTTTAGGTATTGGGTAAGATTAGGGATGTCGAATATGGTCATGCAGAATATGTACTTTATATGTACCAATAAACAGACAATATGTGTTAATTATAGGCATGCTAATAAGCTACTAGTTAATAATGAGAATTGGTCCCTATACTAAAGTGTTACCATTTTTTTTAATGTTTTTGAGTCTCTTATGCTCATAAGACTGCATTTAATTGATACAGTAAAAACAGTAATATTGTGAAAAATGAATGCAATTTAAAATGTTTTCTATTTTAATATATTTTAAAATGTAATTTTCAGCAGCCATTATTCCAGTTTTCAGTGTCACGTGATCCTTCAGAAATCATTCTAATATGCAGATTTGATGCTCAAGAAGTTAAATTATTTTCAATAAAAATTTTTTTATTATTATCAATTTGAATACATTTACACTACTTCGCATTTTTGTGTAAAAATCTAAATATATATATCAATTTGTAAGATTTTTGATGAATAGAAAGTTGAAAAAGAACAGCATTTATTTTAAATAGAAATCTTTTGTGACATTATAAATGTCTTTTAATTAATTCATTGCATCCTTGCTGAATAAAAGCATTATTTCCTTAAAATAAATCATACTAACCCCAAGCTTTTGAATGTAAAAAATATATAACAATTGACATCAAACCCACTATATCTGTCTTTGCTGTCTTCTTAACAGTTTGTTTCTTGTGTTAATTTGCTGTGGACTCCAAAGTGTCTCACCTTCACTAGAGGATCCTGTCAGATCGATGATGACGTACACTTTGCCCTCGGGCTCCAAGTCGATCTGTAGAGAGGAAACAGAGAGAAGAAACCAATCAGAGGAGAGCATCTCAGCACAAAAGGGAGACAAAATCATCCAGAAGCAAATTCTTCACTGACTTTGTGAAGGCACTCCGAAAACATCTCATTCAACATCACCTTCACTTTATCAGCTGTTGTCAGTTCACGATCCCAGTAATAGATTCCCTCTGTGAATCTCCCTCTACAGGAACGGGCCCCTGACTAACTTCCTGCTCTCTGCCTCTTTTTGTTGTCTCTAAGCATGGAGGGTGGCAGAGAGTTGGCAGGGAAACTGCTTGGGTTTTATAATTCCTTTTTAAACAATTTCCTGCCAGAGCAGCACATCCCCGAGCGACCCACGCAGACCCCACGCGGGCCCGACGCTTAGCCGAGATTCAATGCCCACTCGCCATCAGCTCGGCGTGGGGGAGAGAAGCTGGGAGAGGCACCAGATCCACAATGTCAGGAAACCACTGCTTAATCTTATTATACAGAGAGAGAGTGAGAACACAGGCCCCGCTGTGCATATGTGGAGGTGGATGGAGGTGTCGAAGAGAGAGATATCGAGCTGCATTCATAGAGCATCTCAAAATAGGAGGCCTGTTTTATTTTTCTCTTCACAATGATCTAGATCATCAGGGACACGGCGTACCTGGTGCCAGATCAGCACTCCCGGTCTTAGCCGCTTCCTGAGTACAGGAATTAGGACACGAGGAACGGCACAAACTCATCTGATGCGCTCTGCAGCAGAAACGACTTTGTTTGCCCAGATTTCAGTCACAGTTTGTGCTGTGGGAGTTGCGTTTCTGTCGCTTTGCCCCGAGTTCTGCCCTCTCAGCTGGAAGGGGAAAAAACTGATTTATTCCTTCCACGCCTGATGAAATCATCAAGTTTTGCTGCACTTTTGTAAATCGAGCCTGTCGCACTCTCAAAACCGCACGAAACATATCAGACCTGCGGTCATCTGATAAAATTATAACCAAAAGTCGCTTTGAGATGAAAGTTGCGACTGCAGAACTGCTGATGATGTCATCTGAAATGCTAACAGGGTGATGAGATGTCTGTTATTTAGCCTCCCCCCACCCCCTCTCTTCCTGTGATGTCATGAGATTCCATTCAACAGCAGCCTCCTTGAGTGTGTTTGTCTCAGAGGTGCAACTGTCACTAAATTTAGCGGAGGATTGAAAGGCCACTGCGTGTGCGTGTGTGTGAACGTGCAAGGATGGAGTGGTGTGCTATAGTCTCCCTGATGACACTCTCCAGGAAACCAGCATCATGCTTTGCTAAACAATGTTGGCGAGGCTGCTTCGCTGCTCGTGTATGTGAGTTCGTGAGCCTGTCCAGCCGTCGCCGACTCGAAAGCTCTTTTTCAAAGCTGCTGTCATCATATGGGCTCAAGGACAGCCTGCAGACGGCAGTCTAGTTATAGTCATTAGCACACACACACACACACACACACACGCTACAATGTAAAAATCATTTTCTTTAAAATTATAACACTTTATTTTAGGGACACTTAACTAGTTGCTTATTAGCATGCATATTACTAGAATATTAGCCATTAATTGGTACTAATTAAGCACATATTAATGCCTTATTCTACATGACCTTATTCTACATCCCTAATCCTACTCAATACCTAAACCTAACAACTACCTACTAACTATTAATAAGCAGCAAATTAGGAATTTATTGAGGGAAACGGTATAGTTAATAGTGAACAGGTGTTCCCTATTCTGAAGTGTTACTGGTTACACTTTATTTTAAGGTGTCCTTGTTACAGTGGAATTATATATTTAAGTACTGATTAATATTAATTAACTACATGTACTTACTATATGGTTAGGGTTAGGATTAGGGTTTGGCTTAGAGATACTTGCATGCAGTTATGCATAATTTATTTTTATTATAATAGTAAGTACATGTAACGTGTAACAAGGACACCTTAAAATAAAGTGTTACCATGATTTTTGTCTAGTTTTCTAGAAAAATGCCTAAACATCCTTCAAATAAGACAAATTCATGTCTTGTGTAAGATAAGACTTGTTTCAGAGATTTATTCTACTTTTTTTTTCCCTTGCTTCAAGTGTAAACCTTGCAAATTTAGCTAGATTTATGCTTAAAACACACAAACAAATGAATATTTTTGTCTTTTTCTCCAGTACAAAAAAAGATTTTAAGAACTACGTGATACAAACTTGTGTAAGATGATACAAATTTAAAAGATTAGGATAATAAAATGTAATGAGGTTTATGAATAAAAAAAAAAAAAAAAAAAGATTTGCCATTGTGATAAGAAAAATGTGATTATTATATTAATTAAATATATGTCATTCTATGGACCGTACATTTTCTGGTGAACAAGACAAGAAAATAATTTTTGCTGTATCTGCAAAAATTAAAGGGTGGTAATGAGCATTAGTTGAATCCTAAAATGACAATAATGCTTTTGATTTTTGTTGTCCATATTCACATGCTCAAACACATACAGCAAGAGAGCAATTCATGTGAATTTTGGCCCTCCATTACTAAAAGTAAGAGAGCCTATGACATGATACTAGCTTTATATTGAGCCATCATATATGGCTCAAATAATGCTGCTATTTCACACCCTGTACATTACTTTAAAACCTTTTGCTAACTGTCAGTTGATAAATTGATGTAGTTAATCCTGTCTGTTGCATGTGATGAGCATGACCAGAGTTTGACCAGAGAGCACTATGATAGACTGATAACGCCTATATAGACTGCAGACAGATGTACAGCAGCCTGTCAATCAATGCTGATCTGTCCCTTTTGAATAATGTACAGCAACACTGCTGCAGAGTGTTGTTAGATCACATTACTTGCAAAGAGAAACAGTTTCTTCCTGCATTTAACTTTTTCTGTGCTGTTTCTCTCTTCCTCACTTTGTGGCATCTCTGAGGCTTTCTCTCTGTCCTTTTTGCTCCCCCTTTTTCATACATAGATCGTATTCATACCACTACAACTGACTGTTCACACCTGCACAGAATGAAGATACACACTACTTTACTTAATTTATTAATTCTAAAAATGTTAATATTAATAACAATATATAAAAGTATTTAAAAATGTTCATTATTAATTAAATAATAATGTTTTTATTAATAATAATTAATAATAATAACGTAATTTATTAATAAGAACACTGCAATATTATTTTATTTTAAATAAAATATTTAAAGAGGTGTAAATACACACATATTTACATATACTGTATATTAAACATATTTTTTACAATTTAAATAAAATAAAATAAAGATAACAACGCTTATGATAATAAAAATACTCAATTAATAATAACTATATATTATAATATATAGTATAGCCATTATAATATATTATACTATATCTTAATACAATATACATGTGAATACTTATATTTGTATATCTGCTCATATAACTGCTTATATATATTTAATACATTAATATTTTGCAATAAACTTAAGATATTTATATTTAGAAAAATATGTTTTAATAAATGTTTTATACCTAATCTAATTATATACTTTCAGACTTTTTTGAGTACATAATTTGCAATGCTTCATGTGTACTTCATGGCTTCATAATTACACAGTCTCAAACTTTTACTCAAGTCACAGTAATGATGTGAACCCTGTCAGAGCAGCTTGGTTTGGTTCATGGCCTAAAATGGTTTATTGAATACTTTTAAAGAATTAAATGGGAAAATACTAAGCTCCTGAAAATCCTGGGCAGTCACTGTAGCACTCCATGCACAAAATCAATTATAACAGTAGATGCTACTGAGGTCTTACTAAAGGCATCATACGGATATCATGAGGTCATAACGGGAGAGCAAAAGAGAAAAACAGAGAGAAAAAGGGGAGAAAGGGAGGATAAAACCCAGAGATAAGCTGTGGGACATAATCAGCTCCTCTTATGCAACACCCTGCAGCTCAATCTTGCCCACAACCACAGCTCAAGAGGCTCACTGACTAACTGTCTCTCCCCTTAGAAAAGACATATCACATATGAGATCTCTTTAATATCTCAACTGTTTCTCCAAGACAGAAATGAAATGGCATGGAGAACAAATAGAAACTTCTGCCTTACAGATTTTCTAAAAGACCCTAGTAATCTCGCATGTGTCATGTCTAGACTTTCAGATCTCAGTATATCTCAAAAGGTGCTCAGATTGGCCAAAGTCTTCAATAGACTTCAATATGAACTGAATTTGTGATTTACTTTTTTCTACATAAATTCATACTTTAAGCTAAAGAACATTCTGTTAAAATGTAACCTTGATATCTTTAATATTGACTGAGTGAGGCCATGTCAAAGATTGAAATCACAGTGAAATTAATGTTGAAATCAAACTTTGATGCTTGTTATCTCATATTAGGTTTTGAGACTAGCCTGGATTTCACAGACAGGGTCACAATTCTCTTACTGAATGTTAACAATTCTCTCACTTGTTTCTAATTTAAGAATTTTAGGAGAATCATCAGAGTATCAGAAAGCACAAACATATACTTTTCAATGCACAACAAGATGGTTTTAAAGTTGGAAATTCCAAAACAACAAATACAGTGGGTACGGAAAGTATTCAGACCCCCTTAAATTTTTCACTCTGTTATATTGCAGCCATTTGCTAAAATCATTTAAGTTAATTTTTTTTCCTCATTAATGTACACACAGCACCCCATATTGACAGAAAAACACAGAATTGTTGACATTTTTGCAGATTTATTAAAAAAGAAAAACTGAAATATCACATGGTCCTAAGTATTCAGACCCTTTGCTGTGACACTCATATATTTAACTCAGGTGCTGTCCATTTCTTCTGATCATCCTTGAGATGGTTCTACACCTTCATTTGAGTCCAGCTGTGTTTGATTATACTGATTGGACTTGATTAGGAAAGCCACACACCTGTCTATATAAGACCTTACAGCTCACAGTGCATGTCAGTGAAGGGGGTCTGAATACTTTCCGTACCCACTGTATACTGTTCAAAGTTAC